CACACACACACACACGACATCCTGTTCGATGGAACTGATTTAATTTACTTATTTCTTCTTTTGTATTTAAGAGTGTCCCTTTTACTTTTACCTGGAGAAACATGCCCTTCTTCCTCATGAATCGATTAATTAGTTCTTTCGATTTGTAATTAGTCCATTCTTGTTCGTCCGTCTTTTATCTTAAGAAAGGGACACATTATGGTCTGTAGTCTGTTCTATTCTAATGACCATTAAAATGTACTTACGCCTGGTTTGGCCAGAGCTTTTTTTGATCATTACTCTATAAAACAATACTAATGTATAGACATTAACTAATTAAAGTAAGGTGCGTGCTGAATTAGGGCAGGAATGGAACGTCTACCGCGTAGTTGGGGTATACTCCACAGTGGAAGATCCTGCGTCCGTTCCTTCTTTTGTTTCTTCCTAGATATCTTGATTTTCATCTTCTCTAACTCTTACTCTTACCAGTTTATCATCGTATCGACCTGCTTTTCTTTACAAAAACGAAGTGGAATGTTCAATTAAAGGAATTAGAGGTTGAACTAATTTTTTATAATTGAAGTTATCAATACGACCATAGATAATTACATGTTTGTACCGGTACTGATAATGATTATCCCGTGTGCTTCATTAGCGATCCAAAAACGGAGTCTAGACGGTAAGATACATATACTTTCAGAAAAAAACAAGGAAGTTGTATCATGTAGCACTGTGAGACTGAGGCTGACTCCAACCTGCGGCTGCTGCTGCTGTGGCGGCCCATTAAAATCTGTCAAAATGATAGCCGTTAACCAGACTAGGATTAACTAATAAACGGAGCGTATTTTGTTATTAGAATTGAATATATTGGTAACCCCTATTCAGACAAGGTGTGTTGACACATATTGTACTCTCGAATCGAAGAATGATGTATTAACTCTCAGTATACAAAGGTTTATTTCTCTTTTGTTCACAACCAGTTTTGTTATTCAAGTTTTCAACTCCGCTAACTTCCCTTCGACACTATTTTGCCTGTTTGCATAAGGTAAAGACCAAACTGAGCAGAAATGAAAGGTATAAGCAGTACAGATACAGTTTGATTATTGGTAAGATGGATAATATGTTGAGGTGATCTTTGTTTTGACTGTGATCGATCACAACGAGTGGTGCTGTCAGTGGTAACTCTGTAAGTGTTAAGAAAGGAAATAATTATTAAGTAGGTTCTTCTAATCTTAGGAGACAACACAAAATCGACAAGAGCAGTAAGTGTGCGCCCTGGGCTATAACCTACTCAACAAATTATGTCCTTTATTTACATGATATTAAAGCTTCACTTATGCTGTAAGTTGGTCTTCAGTTTCAGATGTGCGAGTAAGCCCCGCGTAATTTTTTACTTCATGTGGACTGTAAGAAAAACGTACACAACATGCATTTTTAAGTGTGTGGGTCGTTGCAAAACGACATTATTACAAGACAGAAACATTATAAATCTTGCCGTGAAGTTAGGACTAGCCTGAAGAGAATTGTTTCTCTGCTTCATAAGATGATGATGGTTCATGATTAAACCCGTGTGAGTTGGGGCCTGACGAACCAGAGAAGGTTTTACATGTATGTAAAAACTATTGCCATGGTGCTGCTTTGATTCCATCTGTACATCAAATGCATACATTGTTCTTGTGTCATGGATTTTCGAACATGTAACAGATATAGTTGTAGGATTAGATAATACTTAG